GACGAAAGCCGGGGGAGGAGGTCATCTGGTGGAGCCCCCGCCGTGGCCCGGAGCAATGAATTGAGCAGTTGAACTGTCCAGTTCTGCGTGGGCCTTGGACGTCCTAAACAAGAATCTTATTGATGGATTTGTCAGACCCCGAGCAGAGCAGACAACTCTGAACTTTAACAGAGCCAGGATGGAAAGCATGCACAAGGGCCTACAGTTTCCAGGATGAACAACAAGCTTATTTTCCCCTCCCTCCACTGGAGGATGAAGAAGAGACCAAAATGAAAAGTGTGGGGGATGGTGGGGGAGAAGAGAAATGTGATGAGTGGGGTCCAGAGCCTCAATGGAATAACCACATTCCTCTGAGGGGTGGCCTACCCTTCAGACCCCTGGGGGAATTGAAGAATGCCACTGGGCTTGGCGCAGATTGGGTCCCCTCGCCTCTGTTAATTGTTATTTCCGAAGGCCTACAGTAGACTTCAAGAGGATGTGTCTCTTGGGGAGTTACTGATGTCCTGTGGGTCGCTTGACACTTTGTCAGATGATCAAACCTACAGAGCCTGACCCTTACCCAGAAAGGGCTCAGGTAACGTAAACCTGACTTGGGCTGAGATGACCTAGAACAATTGGCTTTGACGGAAAGAGCTCTAGAAAGGCAGAGCTAGCAAGAAAGTGGACGGCTTGTGGTCATCAGTAGTTTCCCAGAGACACCTGTGTGTGCACAGTCAAGATCGATGGGGCTCTCGAAGGAAGGCGAATGATGCCCTCTGGTCCTAAGTTTCATGCTGAGCCTCAGTCCTGCATTTGATCCATCCTGGTCCCCAGGCCTGTATTTCTTCTGCTTACTTAAAACAACTGTTCTAGAAGAAAAGGAAAGTATTAACACTGTCCTCAGCAGAGAGTACCCTATGCACTCTTCTCCTTCCCCCATCTGACCAGCCTACCAGTTCCCCAATAAATAGCCACCATGGCTGCTGTGGTACCTCAAGTCCTAAATGACTGGCGTCCCTCAGTACTTCTTAGTCATCCGGGCATCTTCTTTTATAGTTTTCACATCTCACTGGATGATCACACATCCATTGGTTCCACCTGTCACAGGTCACCCCCCCCGCCCCTTCTCTTTGTGTATTTCCTACTCCTGCCCAGTAGAGTATGGTGGACCAGAAAGCAGAAGCCATGAGTCAGATGAAACTCTCGAATTCTCTGGGACTGACTATGGCCAATGGGTGACAGACAGCAAGTCCTTTGGACTTGGACATACTTGAGTTTGAACCCCAGTGCCACTACTCACTGGGAATATAACTGATTAGGTTATAATTGGGGCCCAATAGCTCGTCCCTACAGCTTTGTCCTTGCAGAGCAGCCATGAGAACTGGAGGTGCTGGGGCACAGCTCATGGCATGGCACCTAGCTGTCCTGATTAGTCTACAGTGTTATCATCCCCCCTGTGCCAATACCATCATCTAACTGGCCTCCCCTCCCACCCCCCCTCCCCACTGGCTCCGGCCTGCTTAGAGGACTACTTTGTATGGCCCTCCCAGCACATCCCAGGCCCTGCAGGATTTGTACTAACTCCTAAGCACCCCACCCCAGTCTACAGTTCTAGCCTCAGAGCTCATCCCCACCTTCCCCTCTGCCCATGATCTGTGTGTGCCTGACACACAGCCACTCTTGTTCTGCCTCTCTTGGGTGAACTCCTATGCATTCCTCAGTGACCATCTTATAAAGTCTACTACCCTCTCCCCATGCCCACGATAATCCACATTTCCCTCTTTAGTGCATTCCTGGTCTGTGGATGGAGACATTCCCAAATTAATCTTGTTCTTACTTGGTGTGTTCACCAGGTGTCCCCTCCATAGATAGAGGCTCCCTGGAAGAGTTGAAGACCCACTTGGGTGATCTTTGTCTCCGATTGTGAGCCAGGCACAGACTGTCTACCCTTTGGCTTAGCTATTGGCTCACAACAAGGGCTGTTTTCCAGGAATCCAGCAGCTTTTGGGAAAAGCTAAGGATGTGGAAGAGCAGAGGCATTTCCAGTGTTCGTGCTTTTGCTCTTTGGTTACTGCAGCAGTGGTGGCAGAGACACAGCCTTGAGAGGATCAGAAGGTCAAGGAAAATGGGGCAGAGAGCCCAGCTCCCTTGCAGTCCCTCTCACCCTCCCTGGCCCCCAGAGCAGAGGGCACGGCTGGAGTCCCCTCCCTCCCATTTGTGCTTTGTTTTCCCTGGTTTCGCTTCTTTGAATTCATTGCTGAAGCCAGTTGCGTTCCAGCAGTTGACAGGAAGCTCATGAATAGCTGGGAGAAAGAAAACAGGACCCAACCTTAGACTCAAATCTCATTTTTATTCTTTCTTTTTCAATCCTGCTCTGGGAGCAGTCCTCAGTGGACCCTGAGTAAGCTTATTGCCATAATAGTAAAGAGGTGCTCACAGCCTGCCAGAGCTAAGGGTGACGGGCTGGGCTGTGCTCCCCACTGGCTGGATTTCAGGCAAGAGTTAACATTTTGCCATTGTCTCTCTGTCTTCTGTTCTCTTCTTCCTTTTGTTTTTTAATTTTGTGCCAGTAATGGGCTTGACTTCAGGGCATGGGTACTGTCCCTAGTATTTTCACTGAAGATTCACTCTCTGTCACTTGAGCTGTGGTACTACTTCAGACTCTTTTGGTAGTTAATTGAAAATAAGAGTCACGTAGACTTTCTTGCCCAGGCTGGCTTTGAGCTACATGGGTCCTCAGATCTCAGCCTCCTGAGTAGCTAGGATTACAGGAGTTCTCTGTTCTCTTGGCCAGCCCCCACAGCAGCAGCAGCACCTTGGAGGATGGCAGGGTATTGTTGGCAGTATGGTTCTTCGCCTTTAGTGAGCCAGTCTAGTGATAGCAGGGCCTGGGACTGAGTGAGGCTCCAGAAAAGAAGCACCACTAGCCCAGATGCCCAGGGCTCTTCCCCAATAAGGCTGCCAGGATGCTAGAGGTACCCTCCCCTAATGCCAGCAGTGACTGATCACCCATCATGCCTTTCTGTCTGTCCAGAAAGTTCTTGTATCCCATTCTTTTGGACAAATATTTGACCACCTGGAACAGCTTTGTCTCTACCCTGTTCTCAGGTGTGACCATTGTCCCCTGCCTCTCTCCCGCTGGTTATTTATAGACCAGCTCTGTGTGGTTGTGGGTCTGACCAGGATGCCAGAGACAAAAGTGGCAGGGGCACGGGCAGGTGGTGGACAAAGAAGCAGAGACTTCCGGTGATATTTTGGTTTTTCCAGCCATTGACTGGCTCCCAGTGACACTGTTAAAGCATGGCCTGTGTGGGCAAGGAGCCTGGGCTGTAACAAAGTCTGGAGAAATAATGTCTATGAACAAAGCAGGAGCCCCGATGTTGGATACGACGCTAGGTTCTGAGTTTTACAATAGCAGTCCTTCCGGTAAACTTTGCAGGCTAGTTTTATAGACCAATTGGGCACAGTGTTGTTACCATATTATGAAAACTAGGAAAGGGAGGATTGGACTATAGTTCAGTACTATGGCGCTTGCCTAGTCTGTGCAAGGCCCTGGCTTCAGTGAGAGATTCATTTAAAAAGTGCATCCGTCCTAGTGTTGTAGTGAGGTGGCATCTACCACCTACCTGGATATCAGCAGCCTTTCCCTTCACTTGACCTAGGCCAGGAGTTTTATATTCTTGTATACTAGCCATAAAGTGACTCTGTGTATTCTGCAAGTAGATGGATTTGCTTTTGCTTTCATTCATTAATTCAACATTTATTGGACATTGTGCTGGACCCTGGAAATGTTAGTTAGACACAGAAGCATGTCCTTGGAGCTTACAGTAAAATAGTAACACAGACAGGTACAAAGCTGTGAGAGTGTGTCAGTTTCTTATTATCGTCATCACAAATTACCAAGCAACACAAGTTTATTTACTTAGAATTCAAGCACCTGTAGGGCTGGGTTCCTTCTGGAGGCCCCAGGAGATGATCCATTCTCTTGCCCCTCTAGCTTTTTTTTAGCCTCAGAGCCAATAGTGTAACATCTTCCCTCTGATTCCTGCATCTGTCCTCCCATGTTCTCTGTGTGAATCTTATCAGGACTCTTGGCATTAGTTTGGACTGAATTATCATCACATAATCCAGGGATATCTTACATCCACCAAACTGTGAAGTCCCTGTTGTCATGTAAAGTAGCATATGCACCGGAAGAGAGGGGAATAAGATGTAGATTTCTGGGGTACCATTCAGCCTTTCAGAGGGGCTGGTAACACGGGATTCTGTTTGGTGCCCTCACAGTTCCAGAGGCTAGGAGAAGATGATGTAGGAGGAATGCTACTTGATCCAAGACCTGTGGGATGGGTGGGATTGGCTAGTGTATGTGTGGGGAACCCATTGTAGTGTGACTATTGGAGGAAAAGAGATGGGGTACAAAGGCTGGGCTGTGAGTGTGGTGGCAAAGGTGGATGGGTGATTGATTTGGGGTGCCATGGGCAGTTCGTGGGGATCTATAAGTAGATCTGTGTTTTAGAGAGCCATCTAGTCAAGCCACGATCTAGCTTAGGTCATAGGGTTTCTGAATTGGATGGAACTAGATGCATTTATTTAACTGATCTGAGAAGGTTAAGTTGCAATTTCAAAGTTACCTGGAGAGAATCAAGATGAGAATGACCTTGATTATAACCACAGCTTTGAGGTTACCTGGCAAAGCCCTCTGGAGGTTGATTTCTATTTTTCCATAATACACCTTCAAGGGTATATGTTGGTGGTAGAGAGAATACTTTTGGGATATGGGGCCATCTTGGTCTCTATCACTCCTCTACCAGATGATCGACCTGCAGCTCCCACTCAGGTTGTTGGGATCAAAGACCTGTTTTCCTTCTCCTGTGGTCATGGAACTCAGAATCCCACCTTCTGGTCCCGCCATTCTATGTGTCACCAGCCTCATATCCGGGACTACAGAGGCCACAGTGGGGATGCAGCAGGTTCTAGAGCAAGGCAGATATTGAAACTTGCTCTTGTTTTTTGCTCTCTAGCCTTAGAGCAGCTGCTGACCGAGCTGGAAGACTTCCTCAGGATCCTGGACCAGGAGAACCTCAGCAGTGCAGCCGTGGTGAGGAAGAGCGGCCTGGCTGAACTCCTCCACCTCTACATCAAGAGCAGCAGTAAGTGTGGGCCCTGCCATTCAGAGGGGTCCCACAGAAATGGAAAGATGGCCGTGTGATGGCAAATGCACACATGGGTAGCTTTAACAAAAGATGGTTATTTTCTCATACTTCTTGAAGTTAGAAATCTGGGATCAAGATACTGACAGGACTGACTCCTTTTGGGACCCCTCTCCTTGGCTTGCTGATGGCTGTCTTCTCCTGGAGTCCTCATGTGATTTCCATTCTTATGTTTGTCTGGGTCTGATCTCCTCTTATTATTAAAATATCATGCATACTGGAGTAGGCCCATTCTACTGACCATAGCTGGGCCCTGGGGTCTCACACCTGTAATCCCAGCTACTGTAAGGTTGAAAATGGGAAGGTTATGGTTCCAGATGGAGTCTCCATGAACAGAAGGTGCATGCTTGTCAGAGTCCAGATGTACCTGGGCAGGAAACAAGACCCTATCTAAAAATAATCAGTACAAAAAAGGACTGGAGGCATGGCTCAGTGGTAGAGTATCTGGCTATCAAGTAACAGGCCTTGAGTTCACACACAAAGACCCCATGTCCAAACAGAGTCATCTTTGGAAGTCTTTTGGACCACGTGATTGGGGAGGAGTGACCCAGTTCAACCCATAAAAATGGCACAGAGGTAACTTGGCTTGAGTCAGAATCCCAGAAATCTGATCACTCAACACAGTAGCCTGTGGGTGAGATTGTAAAGAAAATGTTTTCAAAGTACTTTTCTTTCTCCGTTGAAAGCAGAGAAGGAATAGTCAACGATTACAAGAGCACCTAAAATTTAGACATCTTACATGCACACATATGAGCTCGTTCGGTCTTTCAGGCATTCCTATAAGTTTGGTGCTGTGGTTACAGAGGGAGGAAATTGAGGCTCTGAAAAATTTAGATAACATTCTAAGGATTATGCAGCTCAAGGGAAAAAGAGGAAAATGTAGTTTCAAAGCTATAAATCACAGAACCTTGATCTTGTAATGTTTTCATCGTGTGTGTGTGTGTGTGTGTGTGTGTGTGTGTGTGTGTGTTGGTATTGGGGCTTAAGCTCAGGGCCTTTGCTTGGCTTTTTCTCTCAAGGCTAGTGCTCTACCAGTTGAGCCATACCTCTACTTCTAACTCTTTGCTTGTTAATAGGAGTCTCTTGGATTTGTCTCTCTATATTGGCTTTGACCCTCACTCAATATTCAGATCTCTGCATCCTGAGTAGCTGGGATTACAGGTGTGAGCCCCTGGTGCCCATGTCCATCTTCTTTATCATGATGAACTTTATTTATAATGAAGAGCATAGTTGTTATTGTATGTACTGTGCAACTCACCATCTAAAACAAGGCATAGCTGGTCACTGATGGCTCATGACTGTAATCCTAGATTCTCAAGAGACTGAGATCCAAGGATCATGGTTTGAAGCCAGCTGGGGTAGGAAACTGGGAAACTCTTATCTCCAATTAACCACAAAATGCTGGAAGTGGAGCTGTGGCTCAAGTGGTAGAATGCTAGCCTTGAGCACAAAAGCTCAGGCACATCACCCAGGCCCAGGGCTCAAGCCCCAGGACTGGCAAAAATAAAGTAAAATTAATAAAATTAATTAAAGAAACAAGGTGTGGACTATTCTAATCTAGTCATCTAGGAAGCTCTGTCTTGCTCCATCCCTAGTAACTTTCTTCCTACCCCCACCTCTACACAAAGGTCACTGTTGCTCTGATTTCTCCTTCTGTACAATGGCTACCTGTCCTGGAGCTTCATAGACATGAAGGGGTCATATGGGAAAAGCTTTGTGTCTGGCTTCCTTCGAGTAGGCGACCTTCCCATGTGGTTTGCTCCTTTCACTACTGAGTGGTAATCCATTCTGTAAATATCCCACTGTCTGTTTGTCTGTTCACTTGTTGATGGATATTTGGACTGTTTACCTATTTGAGCAATAAGGCTCTGCGGTGAACATACTTGTATAGATCTCGTCGACACATGATTTCATTTATATTAAATCTAGATCCCCCCCTTTTTTTTTTAAAAAAGAAAACCTTGTAAAGTCAACACAGTTGTTGAGTTGATTTTTCTGTCAGGTATTTGGGAACAGGAAATGCTGTTTGGGGACAGTTAAGGGACCATCAGAGCCTACTGAATCCATCTGCCTCTCAGCAGGAGCAACCTACAGCCATGCCAGGGAAGCAAAGTCTCCACCTGCTCCAGCCAGCGCAGTCAGGAAATGCTTCCTGCATCTAACCTGAGTCTGCCAGGCTGCAATTCAGGGCCCCAGCCTCGGCGGGGGGGGTGAGAAGGGGGTGCATTTCTCTTCTCTGAATGTCAGGCACTGCAAAGCGGAAACTGTCTCCTTAGAGGAACAATCCTGGCTCCCCACCATGTCATCAGGGGTGTTTTCCTGCAGTCCCCCCCCCCACCCCACCTTTGCTACCTTGGCAGTTCCCAGGCTCCTCCTGGCTTTGTAGCTGCGTCTTCCAGGCCTGCACATCAAACAAACGCTGGTGGGAACAGCAGAGGGGAAATCCACAGCACAAAGCCCCAGAGTTAGGGGAGGAATGACTCACCCCTCCGAGGGATTCATCAGTGGATCCTTTACAAAGCACACTCCCCAGACCTTTGAAGATGTGCTCCGACTTGAGAATGTTGGCTTATAAAGACGGCCTCTGTTAGGAACTGGAAAACACCTCTTTGTGATCAGCCTGACCCACGGCTTCTGGAGTGAGCGCATTGGCAGTGGCTCCTGACAGGCCCTCGGCCTTTGCATGCCACGTGGCTCCCTGTAGGATGGCCTTTGTGCTGCTCTCCATCTGCCTTGATCAAGTCAGAGCTTTCCCACTTCTGGGGTCTGCAGATTGTTGGGGTGAGGAGGGGGGCTGCTGAGAACAAAATCTAGGGCTTCTCAGATCACTGATATCTGTTACCATACCTACTCCATGTCTTCTCAGGCATGAGTCTACCCATTACTACAGCTGCTGCTTGTGAGTTTCCCTCTGGCCCCCTTTGTGCTCCTTAGACCAGCAACTCACATTACTGACTCCTTACTGGCAGGGAGTGTTTAATGTGTTCAGTGATAGGGATTATGTCACTTCATCCTCATCTCTGATCTGTGAAAGATTTCCTGTTATCCCCAGTTTACCAACAAGGGAACCCGGGCTGGACAGAGGCACACAGCCATTGGTCATGGAGCCAGGGAAGGTGGGCCTCACCACTACATTCCCTGGCTCTATTGCAATGGGTTAGCTGTTGTACTGGGGACAGACAGAATCTGGAGCATCTGTCTTCCCCTGGGCCTCTTCCTCACTGTATGACTAGGAAAACTTATCCTTAAGGCTTATCCTAAAGGTGAGGCAGGTTGATCATTTCAGAATAGCCAGTCACAAGATTCCTTGTCACTTGCACATGTGAGGCAGTGTGTGTGTGTGTGTATGTGTGCATGTGTGCATGTGCGCTTGTGTATGTATCTGAATACACATTGTGCTTTTCAGATGGAAACATCCACCTGGATTTTCTAAGCTGGTGTTTTCCTTGCCTTCATAAACTTCCTGCCCCCTCTTTCTGAGGGCTACTTATCAGGGCCTTGACTGCCTGTGTGTGGTGTTGGTGCCTTTGCCAGCAAGAACCGTGCCCCCGTCTCCTCCGCCCAGAGGCTCCAGGCTGTTCCAGTAGCTGCCCTTCTGATTGGGAACACTTCAAATGGTCTGTGTATCCAGTTGTAGCAAGAGCTCAGGCTCCTCCCACCACATGCCAGCTGTGGGAGAAGGGTTACTTGCTGCTCCTTTGGGGCAGATCCCCAGAAATGACACATGTTATCTCAGTACTACCAGCTCATCTCTCCACACCACCTGGAGGGGATTATCTCTTCACACTGGATTTGGGTTCATGAAGGCAGTGACAAGGTCTCTTTGGTTCTCTTCTGTATCCTCAAAGCATTCTGTGTGTGTGTGTGTGTTGTGTGTGTGTGTGTGTGTGTGTGTGTATTGGTACCAAGGCTTGAACTCAGGGCTTTACCCTTTTGCTCAGCTTTCATGCTCACAGCAAGTGTTCTACTACTTGAGCCATACCTCTAGTCCAGCTTTTTGGAAATGGACTCCCTTTGGTCATTTCTGCCTAGGGTGGCTTCAAATCTCTATCCTCCAGCTCTCAATCTCCTGAGAAGCTAGGAATATAAATGAGCCACCAGTGCCTGGCTTCAAGGCACTTGGGAAAATGAATGAGTGACAAATAGAAGGTTCTCTAGCCTGAAGCAGCTGCACCTCCCCACAGACAGAGTACAAAACAGCAGCCTTCTAGGGCCAAGTTCACTGTGTTTTTCCTAAAATAGCAGACAGGGTGAGGGGTTTTTCCCTATAATTTACAAATTAATTATCTTTGGGAAAAGCACCTGCCTAAAATCTGTTAAAAGAATAACATCAATAACATCAATATCTTGCTTTTTCCTTTTTGTACAGAGTGTGAAACTAATCAGATATATATATAAAAAAAGAAATGATCACAAAAAATGCACATTGAGAATCTCTAAATAGATTCCCAAATTTTTGCTGATCCCTACCAGACCATCTCAACATTTCCATATATTTGTGGTTTCTCTCCCATGTTTCTTCTCTATGTTCTCTTTGCATTTATAGTCTGGAGGCACATTTCTACATGTTGCCATATATCGACCCTGAAACACAACTTATCATTTAACTTAACCCCAATTCATGGATATCTTTGCAGACAGCAGAAGTGGAGCTACGCTGCCACTTGTCCATTAATTACTCTGCCTCCAGTCAGTGGGCATTTACATTGTATTTTTCTTTTCTTTCCTTTTAATCTCACACAATATTGCAATGAGCATCCTCAAAGAATTTTTTATTTATATGCTGGTATCTCCCCATAAGATAGATTTCTGGAAGTATAAAGCTGGAACAAAGGATAGAAACCCAGGAAAAGTAAACTACTCTCCCAATCGCCTTAAAAATGCTTGTGCCAAAGGAGGAGGCTACAATGCTTGATAAGAAATGTCCTCATTATCTTGCCCATGTAATTGTAACCCCTCTGTACAGTATTTTCACAATAAAAAAATATCTTCCCAAAGCAGTGGTAGTTTTGTACTACTGTCACTGGACAATTATTTCTACTCTCTATTCTTTCCAATTTTTATCTTCACCTGTTTTAAAAATAAATTGACAATCTGCTGAAATTGAAAAAAATGCTTGTGCCAATTTACACAGTCCAATAATCCATTTATTTATTTTATATTTTAGTGCCAGTGCTGAGGCTTGAACCCAGAGCCTAGGTGCTGTCCTTTAGCATTTTTGCTCAAGGCTGGTGCTCTATCACTTGAGCCACACCTTCACTTCTTTGTGTGTGTGTGTGTGTGTGTGTGTGTGTGTGTGTGTGTGTGTGCATGTGGTTAATTGGAATTAAGAATCTCATAGACTTTCCTTCCCAGGCTGGCTTTGAACCACAACCCTCAGATCTCAGCCTCCCTAAGTGGCTAGGATTATAGGTGTGAGCCAACTGTGCCTGGCTTATTTATTTATTTTTGAAATGACATGCTATTTCTGTATGTTGGCAGGCCATGCTTTATTGGATCATTTGTCCTATTTGGAATCTTTGAGCTATTTACCTTGTTTAAGACTGAAAATCTTTGTTAACTCTAAGCTTATCTTACTTTTTCTAATTACCTAATGATTTGAGTTTAGCACTCTTGAAAATTCCAGAGCTAGGTAGAAACGAAACAGTATTTTATCCTTACCATTTCCCATGCAATGTCTCGAAGGGTGAGACATTTTGCCCGGCACTGTGCTTCTGATGGCATGCTTGGCTGAGCTGCAAAGCACTTGTCCCCTACACTGTACTCTGGCTGTTCAGCCAGCCCATGTGTCTCAGTTGGTGAATATTCCCCAGAATTGTCTCCCATTAACCACTGCAAGCCTTGCCTAGGACAACACTGCCCTCTGGTCCTGGCGGGGCCCGCAGTGGCTGATGGCTGTGGGCTTACCAGGCCTCCTCCTGCCAGCTGGTTTGAGGCTGGAGGTCTTGGAGGTCTGTGGCTATGTAACAGACTGATGCGGAATCGCCTCCTTTGCCAGACCTTTGAGCTAGGTCCTTTGGCTCCGGAGCACGCTCCAGCCACTGGAAAGTTTCTAGGAAATATAGGTGAAGAGCTGCAAAAGATCTTCTAGGGGAAGTGAAGAATGATATCTGGGGAGGGAGAACCAAGCGTGTGATGGGGGCTGGCCAGCATATTCCTCTGCTGGCCGGCACTGGGAAGGCACTTAGGCCAAGGGATCTCAGAGATGGCTAAGCTGCTGGAGGGCAGAGCAGGTGGCCAGTGGCCCCCCAGAGCCCATTCCCAGCCTTCTCACCCCTCTAGACTCAGAGCCCATACCATGCCCACCTAGGCTTCCCGTTAGTGACACCCCCACCACCCAAAGGAGCCTCCGGGCTAAATGTTCAGGTTCTTTGCCAGACCCATTTTATCTAGACATCTCTGATTAGTACAGTCAAGTAATTCAGACTAGGATCAGAGATACTTGACAATGTAAATGAAGTACTGGGAAACCCAGATGTGTATCTACTCTGTGAAACGAACTCGATACATCTTTAAGGTCTGGATGCCTTTCAACTTTACTGTTTTTATTCCTGAAGCTATCCTTCTGCACCTTGCCCTTCCCACCCCCTTTATGCCCACCCCAGCCTAAAAACTAGCAGTTAGCAACTCATCTTGCTTGGAAATCTGCCGGTGCTATGATGCATTGGGGGAGGTGTCAGGCGTACATGAACATGCATGCATGCACTAGAGCTTAATCTCAGGGCCTGGGCCTTAGCTTTTTTGCTCAAGGCTACACTCTACCACTTGAGCCAAAGCTCCATTTCTGGCTTTTTACTGGCTAATTGGAGTCTCATGGATTTTTCAGCCTGGGCTGGCTGTGAACCACAATCCTTAGATCTCAGCCTCCTGAATAGCTAGGATTACAGGGATGAGCCACTGGTGCTTAGCTTCTATGGTAGATTCTTGGGGCTTGAACTCAGGGCCTGAGTTTTGAGTTCACAGCTAAGCACTCTACCACTTGAATCACAGCTCCACTTCCAGTTTTTATTGGTAGTTCAATGAACTCACTAGCTAGTAGTTCAAAGTCTCACTAGCTTTCCTGCCCATTCTTAGCCTCTTGAGTAACTAGTATTACAAGTATGAGCCACCAGACCCAGCCTATGGGTGGATTCTTAATCAACTGGAAGTGCCCAGTGCTTTTATTGGGACCTACGTGGATGAAAATGTCATAGAGAGAGTGTTTCTTTCTGTCCCAGCACAAAGTCACACAAAGCCCATATCTATTGATTGTCCTCTTTCTGCAGGTTCTGATGAAGAGTACATTTACATGAACAAAGTCACCATCAACAGGCAGCAGAATGCAGAGTCTCAGGACAAAGGTATGGGCTGGGCAGGCTGAGGGCTAAGCCAGTCCTGGGAAGGGTAGGCTCAGGCTTGGTTCCATTCTCTCCTTGCTCCCTCCCAGCCAGCATCCAGACAGGCCTGAGGAGTTATTTGCGGCATCCACATTTTTGGTTGTGGTATTTTGGGTTGATGTATTTTCGGATGTTTCAGCGGCCACCACCTCCTTGCTGATTGACTAAGGAATCTGTGCCTAAAATCGCTTAGCTTTTCCCAGCATCATCCCAGGAACAGGAAGTCATAATTCAGATGTTGGAGGAGAGCAGCTGTGTGTGGCGCTGATCCCACAGTTCCAGCTCTGTGTGTTTTCATAGAAGTCTGATTGGGAGGAGGGAGGAGAAATGGCCATGTCAGCAACTGCACGCATGTTCCCAGAAGAAGCTCAAAAGGGCTCAGGCAGCACAGTTTCCCTCCTATTGGAAGAATCTGTGGCTTCCTCTCTAGTGCCTCTGTCTCCTTTGGAATGGGTCTGATGGGACCCCAGAAGGCAGGGAAGTTTGCAGAACTGCCCCACAGTAGAGAGGACAAAGCACCATCTCCTAACCACCAAGCCTGTAGCTCAAATGGAATGGCTTAGAGAGAGATAGGGACACAGTTCCTAAAGTGCTTACTTCTATCCAACTGAAAGCTTGCCTTCAATAGAACAGACTCTGGACATAGGTCACCATAGCCGGAGGTCAGACCTGCCTGAACTATCTTGTTTAGGATCTGGCTGGACTGGTCGAAGTAAAGCAACTTCAGTACCTTGCCTTTAACTCAGAGAACTGGTCCCCTAACTTCATCATACCACCCCCTCCCATACTACCTCCAGCACCAAGCCTGGAACTGTAGACCTCATCCAGAGGACAGTGACAACTCTACCCAGGGTCATTTGCCTTGTGGGTAAACTGTGGGAGGGAGGGACCATAATAACAGGGTTTGTACCGAGACCAGCTTAATATAGTGACCGCCAGGCAGCTCCCCTGCTTGGCTGGACTGTTTCTGACGTGGGGCATATGTCAGGGAAGGGTGAGAAGCCTGCCAGGAACCCCAAGGAGTCTGTCCATGGCACATTTCCTGTTTTGGGAGAAAAAAAAAACTTCAGCTCCCATGGCCGCCTACCTGGGCAATTAACACCTGCTCAAATAGAACTCACGAGACAAGGACAGGCCAAGTGACCGGACATTCCTAGGTAATAAGACCCTGCCATGCGCAGACACCCCCTACCAATGGCTTCTCCTCTTCCTGTCCACAGTGCCAGAGGAACAGGGCCCATTGATCAACGGGGAGCTCAGCCTGCACACGTCCGCCCCTCAGAAGAGCCTCCCCGACCTCCCGCCATCCAAGATGGTAAGTGTGGGCCCAGGGCCTCTGATGCACTTCCCTGACCGAGGCCCTTGTCCGAGGCGTCAGTCCTCCAAGCCTCTGGTGTTTCCCCAGTATCCTCTGTGTGCAAGGTATGGGGCAAAAAAGATGTTAACAGAAAGCCCATTGGCATTTGCTCAGACCCACGAGACTCCTGACACTATGAGGGAGATTTTTATCAAGTGCTTTATCACTGTACATCAAATGCCATGCCGGGCTTTGTCCCCAGTGCCACACAACAAGGGCCATGTTTTGCTCTGGTCACCAGCTGAGGCCCCCATGACCAAATGTCAATCTTATCTCACTATACTTCCTGCCTGAAACCCACTAGTGGTTCTTATTCAGTTAGAAACAAACTTCCTCATTCCAGACCTGGTGGCAAGACTTGCGTGTCCAGTCCAGATACAGGAGCAGCTTCTTGACACTGGCTCTTTCCTGGCTTCCCTTCTGCTCTTAGGTTGTGCTGTGGTCAGCTGTGCTGCAATATTTTTCACTTCCTGGGTCATGACCCATCAGCGACTATCACCTCTTAGAAGAAGCTCTTGGAATTGCCTTGACCTGGCTACATGAGCCATTCATCCCTGTTCTAGCCCACCAATCCAGTCACCCTTCTGTGACACTTGACACTGTGACATGGCATTTTTATTATTTGTGTTCTCCACCAGATAGAAACTCCCCAAGATGGACACTGTGCCTCTCAGTTTTGTTGTTTGTTTGTTTTTTTTACTTCATGTCTAGTGTTGTGAAGTAGGCCACACACAAATAATTGCTCAATACGATGAGTGTGTGGGTAAGCAGGTGAATGTATTGATGGATGGATGGATGATGGATGGATAGACTGAAGAGTGAAGGGATGATAGATAGATAGATAGACCGGTGGATGGGAATCATGCAGCCCTGGGTTCAGATCTCAGCTCTGTCATCTACTAGCTCTTTGACCCTAAGAAAGTTACTTAAGGTCTCTAGCCCTTTGTCCTCTGATGTTTAAGTAGAAGTGATATTGGTATCTGTCTGTTCACCAGGTTAAGGCTCCAAGCCTGTGCTATAAAAACTATGCTAGGTGTTTATTGCAGCACTGTTCACAATAGCTAGGATATGGAAACAACCCAGATGCCCCACGACAGATGAATGGATCCAAAAATTGTGGTATCTATACACAATGGAATATTATGCAGCCATTAGAAATGACAAAGTAATGGCATTTGCAAGGAAATGGATGGAGCTAGAAGGAATCATGTTGAGCGAGGTAAGCCAAGAGCGAAGAGACAAATGGTACATGGTCTCCCTGATAAGTGGATGCTAAATCCAAAATGTTAGGTGAT